CTTTCCTGACCTCACCTCTTCCATTTGTTGTCATGTGACATGGACCTCAAGAAGGGTAGTGTCCAGGACACAGATGGCAAAATGAGGTTTATAAAGCTGTTGCTAATCATCACAGGACAGCCGGAATACAATGTCAAGTAATCTTTATGCATTACGCCCACCTCATCAAGTCATTTACAGAATATTGATGTAATTATCTATAGAACAGAGACAAAAACAGAGACATTGTTTTAAAGTTTTATTGATCATTTCCATACAAATATTTTCCCCACCCAGACATTGTCCTTTTATGGAAGCCATATTAAAGTTGAAGTGTTATTCAGAATCAGTTTATTGCCAAATGTTGAGCAGGTTTACAACATTAGGAAATTGCTGCGGTGCTTCAGTGCAAACATAGTGTCATAAATTGCGATTAAATAGACATGAAAAAAAAAATTAAATATAATATTAAGTATATTAAATATACTTTCAGCCCCACAAAGCTTATTTAAAAAAAAAGCAAGACACCGCAGGGAATTGAACCCCGTCCCGACAGAGTCAGGAGTGCCATCACCGGAGTCTTTTGCTTTTTGTTTTTGCTAGTTAGGGCAAAAGCAAAACCTGGAAGAACAAAACAGTTTGTTCTTCCAGGAAAAGAAAACCCGACACCTGGATGCTAATTATGCTGTCACCACGGGGATTCTCTTGGTCACGAGGCTGAAACTAGAACAGAGAGACGTCTGGTTTCCCCAATCCCCAAAATTCCCCACAGCGACACTGTATTGGTGTATTATTCCACGAAATCCGTTTAGCCATAATAAAACCACGATACCAGAATCCCTTGTCAAAGCGATTTTCCCCTCTGCAATTCAGCACGAGTCGCGGGTCAACTGCCAATTTTATGGCTGTAATGGGGAAAAAAGACAGACAATTTAAGCCCCCCCCCCAACCCCACACTTGTACCAAGACTCATCCAATATGATGGGAGATTGAATTTATCAACATTGTTGTAGTTTACCACAGCTGATGCAGCATTTACCACAGCTATTCTTCCTCTGATGCTCAGCTCTTCAATGTATTAAATGAACCCTAGAGGCTGGCAGTACCAAGTGATCCAATGACTCCCTGCAGACCTTTAAGTTCTCTGGTTCAGTAGCAAGTTAAGCTGAATGAGAAATCTGAAAAAGGGAGAAAGAAGAGTGTTTGCCCCCCCCCCCCAGACCCTCCTAACCATAATACTACTGCAATGTTTGACAACGACTTTATGAACATTGTTTTACAAATAAAATGTTATGCATAGCTGATGTGCATGCAACATGTTGAGTTACACATTAAAGCCATGGTATGTTAAAGAAAAATCAAGGGAACCGAAATTACTTAACTTAGCACCCACGAGACTGAAGTGATGCAGTATTAGCGAAAACAAGCTTGCAGCTCTTGATCTTAATGTGACTGGATTCTCAGTGTTCCATCACAGGTTAGGCCATCCCAGATGAAAAATTAAGAATTTGGGGTAATTTGACCTGAGAAACCAAAGGGAAAGAAAAAGGCACACAAACACAGAGAGCGGGGGCTTCTGCGAAGGACGTCAGGGGTTCAGATTTAAGCTCAAGCGCACAGGGGATTGGTACTTCATTCAGGGGCCACACTCATATCGCTGACAGCTTCCACAGATGGCTTTGCATTCAGAGGCAGGCGAGATCGGAGTGGACAGACGAGAATGATCTGAAACAAAGAGTGATCTACACAACACACCCACCACACAATACTCAAAAGATTTGGGTTCTACTCATCTTATGGTTGTAAGATGCAAAGCAATAGGGCCCCAAGGCCAAAGAGGAATAAGCTAGTAAAGCATTGTTACTGATGATTTGAGGTTAACATAAAGCCAGTTCCAAGATGTCATTTTGTCAACTACAACATTGCAGAAGTTTTGACAAGTAAAGCCAACAGCTTACTACATGCTCCGGGTTAGGACTTGACTCGTGCTTGAACCAGTCTTGCACTGTGAGTTCTGTGAAGAGAAGTGTAGGGATACGCCCAACCACAACACAATAGAAACTAAGGCAGCACATTTGCGCTGCATTTCAGACCAAATTAAGCCGCACCATGCGCAGCTTTCCTCAGCTGCTTAAATTTTGAAACTTCGCACAGTTGCGCGATTGCTAAGGTGACCAACCTGCCACTTGCACAGTTGCACAAGGGCAAGCAGCTGAGGGCTAAATGCTCTAATATATGTAAACACATCAAAAACCTGACTCCTTTTGTTCAAACTGCATGTTGGTGGAGTTCAAAGCGCAGCGTGATTCTTGTGTTCTCCTAGGTACACTGCTTTCTTCCTTTGGATTGTTCTGTAAGAGCAAAGAGGCAGAAAAGAAACACCCCTATACCCCTCCCCACAGTATCGTAGAACTGACTATTGTTATCCTTACCCAAATGCTTTACTGCAGATAATGTCAGAATCAATGAAGGTCCATCAAATCTTCCCGTTATCACAAGTGACTTGTTAAGAAAGCACAGCAGTGCTATTTCTACTGTCAAGTATAGCAAGTTGCTTTCATTTCAAGAATGAGGACACGCAAGTCCAGTCAAGATAAGTGACCCCTATAGGGCTGAGAATTTTCTGTTTTTCAACATCAATATTTGATGGATTCAACTTATCTGCCTTCACTTTCCACTTTGAAATAGAAGTCATTCGAGCCCAGGTCACATCCGTGCTCTACAAAGCTCCAAGCTTTAGTCATACCTGAAAAAGCACAAGAAAAGCTCCCCCACACAAGCCCCCCCAAAAAGAACAAATGCATACCAAAACTGTATTCAATCACAACAAGCTATGCATTTATTATGCAGTAAGAAAATCCTTTACAGATAGTTCACTCATTGTATTGGCGATACAAAGCAAAGTAACTAATTGCAAAGGAATTGCAATGAAGGCAATTAGCCAAATAATGAATGTTAAAGTAAATGATCACATTTAGCCACCTTACGTGATGCTCGATGCGCAAGGAAACTTGTACATACAATGAGTTAGGAGTTCCTGATGGTCTTGGGTATTGAAAGCACACAGGACACAGCACACTGAAAAAATGCAAAGAAAAGCCTCTCCCCACAACACCCCTGCCCTAATACAATATGGTAGAAAACTACAACACTGGCATTAAAGTAACATTGTAAAGTATATTAAATATACTTTCAGCCCCACAAAGCTTATTTAAAAAAAAAGCAAGACACCGCAGGGAATTGAACCCCGTCCCGACAGAGTCAGGAGTGCCATCACCGGAGTCTTTTGCTTTTTGTTTTTGCTAGTTAG